AATATGATAGTTTATTTGTCGGTTATTAAAAATCCCATGGACATTCAAAGACATTTTTTCACTTTGTTATTTGTATGGACATTGTATTTTTGTGTTCCCTTATATATATATATATATATTTACTCTGAAACTGTTTGATGTGTTTTTCAGGTGGGTATTTGATTCTAAGGGAATATCTCCAAACTCCTTGATAATAAGAGATTCACTTCTCACATTATCCAAATCTCTTTTTAGATAAAATATTTGTTTTTGGATCATTTTGAAGTAGCGTTCTTTTAGAACTCATGTTTATAAGTAATAAAGTGGATAAGTCTTCTAGAATTTGTTGATGATTTTTTTCAACCGAGGAGACGATGTGATACTAATGAAGTTGAAAGGAGTAACACAAAAAAGAATGACTTAGCATCATTGGAGGATGTGTATGAATGGGGTGGCAGTTAGCATAACTCTTAGCACCTAGTGAGCATGTCAAATGTTTTCTCTTTCCTTAATTAGTTGTTTGTAATTAGGAGTTTAATGTTTAATTCAAATAACACTCAACTATAAATAGGGGTTACATTGTATAATTAGATTTGATGGAATAAAAAATAAACTTTGTTGAGTTGAAGAATAATCGAGTGTTGTTTTCATTTTGAGTCTTATATTATGCGATTAGCTCATGCGACAACTATAGCTTCTACTTATTTTTAGTCGTTCTAATTCAAGTGGTGTGGGTTCCTTCATTTCCTAGTCCATTTTAGATTTGCATCACTCCATATTACGTCCAGTGTTCTTCAACAACATAAGTGTTTTTCATTCAGTGTTCTATCATGTTGTCTTTTTTGTATTAAAACCACTAAATCTATAGCATTTTATTCTAATAAATATGTAGCATATCTTTAATTAATTAAATATAATAATCTATTCAAATTCTAGTTTACATCATATATGATTAGGAATAATAAAAAATCAATCAATTTTGATGTGTTTTATATTAATTCATTTGTCAATGTTAAAAATGTGTTTTTTAAAAGATAGGCCAAATATTTAAAAAGTCGAGTAATCAACGACCAAATTGTTTAGATAAATGCAAAAGAAAAATTACCAAATTTAATAATTTTGATAATAATTATTTAATTTTTGGATTTTATTAAAAAAATAACACATAATTCATAATGTTTGGTTTAATCCTTGCAGACATCCCGATTTGTGTAGGGTTGTCTCAAATAGATCCTCGTATTTATTTTTATCTCAATTAGGTCCCTATTTTTGTAAAATTGAGTCAATTGGAACCTTGTCGTTAATTTCAATAGACGACGTTAAATTTATTGAGTCGTGACACGCTGACGAAGCAAATTTTAATGACGTGGATCAAATTCATTTGCACGTGGACCTACAGCACCGTCGAGTACTCTCCTTCTCTCCCCTCCTCTTCTCCCCCTCCCCCTCCCCCTGCCTTCGTCTTTCTCATTGATCTTTCCTCCCCCGACGACCAACTGCTCTCCCTCAAGAAGGACCTCCTCCTCCTCCACCACCACTTCCCCGATCACGCCCTCGTCGCTCTCCTCACCTTCGATGTTGTTTGCGATGGTGCTGTGGCGAAGATGATGGTGGTTCGAGATTGCCGAACTCGTGAAGAGAGACGCGATGAGGATCGCGATTCTGGGTGGCTGTTCTCGCGGTTTTGACGGAGGCTGGTGGCACTGTTTGAAGGTTGACGGTGGTCCGGGGTTGTGCGGCGGTCAGGCAAGGGCTCGCGTGAAGGAGATGGTGGCGAAATGAATTGGGATTCTGGCTTGGAGTTTGATTTCGGCGTTTAGGGTTCGAAGGATTTTTCAGATCGGATTGGGTTTTTGGATATGCAGGTCTGAGATGATGATTGGGAAAATGAATGGTGGCACGGTGATGATGACTTGTGGCTGGCGGTGCGGTGGCACGATGTTGTTTGCAGTGGTGCTGTGGCGAAGATGATGGTGGTTCGAGATTGCCGAACTCGCGAAGAGAGACGCGATGAGGATCGCGATTCTGGGTGGCTGTTCTCGCGGTTTTGATGGAGGCTGGTGGCACTGTTTGAAGGTTGACGGTGGTCCGGGGTTGTGCGGCGGTGATGTTGCCGACGACGCTAGGGAGAAGATGGTAAGGAGACTAGGGTTTCAGTGGGTGGAAGATGGTGATGATGTGGTAGAGGTTTCAGTGGGTGCAAATGAATTTGATCACGTCATTAAAATTTGCTTCGTTAGCGTGCCACGACTCAATAAATTTAATGTCGTCTATTGAAATTAACGGCAAGGTTTCAATTGACTCAATTTTACAAAAATAGGGACCTAATTAAGATAAAAATAAATACGAGGACGTATTTGAGACAACCCTACACAAATAGGGATGTCCGAAAGGATTAAACCTTTATTTTATTCGATGTAGAATTTATTTGTATGTTAATGTAAATTTATTTTTACAATGATTGAGGTGGAATTTTGTAATATTAAGCATAATTTTTAAAAAGGTAAAATAATGTTAAAATTCCACAAAAAAATTATTTATAATTTATAATTATTGTTATTTTATTATGATTAAAAAAGTGTGACAATGTTTACTTGAAGAGACCCGTATCTAAAAGTAATAAGTTAAGGAGATATTTGAAATGGAAGCATAAATGCTAAAATAGTAAAATTAAAATATGGTGCTTGTTATATGGTGCTTATTGAAGCTATGCTTATTTCACAGTGTTTCCATGAGTGGGGAAGATCGAAGATCATCGACAGATGCAAAGTAGCATTAAAGTGAATTTAATTGCGTGTCAGAAGTAGGAGTAAAGGTGAACACAAAGGTGATGATGGTGTTATTATTTTGTTTAAAATATTTGCATTCATTTTGAAAAATCTTTGTCATTGCTTGGTATCTATCTACTTTCCACTGCATCACCTAGCTTCTTTATTATTCCCATCTAATTCATGTCAGCTATTCTCCACATTCAACCCAATTTTTCAAACCAACATTGAAAACTCTTTCTCACTTCTATGTTGAAAATCTTTGACGCTGTTTCCTCTTACTTTCTTTTCTTTCTCTCTCATCAACCCAATACCAAAATAAAAATAAATATAAGTAAAATAGACAAAATTATTATATTAATTATAAACAAAATAAATTTATAGTATATGTTCGATATTAAACTTATTTTATAAATAAATTTTACAAAATTAAATTAGATTTAATTTTTATTTTTTAAAATTATCATATTATAATGATGTTTATTATTTGTTATATCTATTTTGTTATTTGGAGTTTATTTTCGGACCATCTTGACAAGTTATTTTTAGAAATATTTTTATCATTAAAAGGGTTAATTATGTATTGTAAAAAAAGAAATAAAAGATAAAAAAAAATGTAAAGTGTGTATAAAAATTTACTGGATGATAAAATAATAATATCTAATTGTCTTTTAAGTAAATTTTGTGAAGACAAATTAAATTTATAAATCTATCTATTTTAATTCAAAGTTTACATGATATTTTTATAGTCAATTATCATGTATTTAAGATATTATCTGTTTTGAATATTAAAGTTTTATTTTTAAAAGATATTTTCTGAGAGAATGAAAGAAAGATAAAAGAAAATGTATTTAAACTCTCTTATAATTTTATTTTTAAATAATGTGAAATTAATGAGTATGAATATGAATATATCTATAATCCAAGTAATTTGTTTTTCTTTTTTTGGAGGTTTATGTTACAGTTGACAAAACTTTGTAACCCAGAAAATTCTACGCTGCATGAAATTTCAAAGAGAACTAAGCTAAGGGACTATGTGCTAGATGCTAGCTCTTTAAAACAGTCATTGACTTTGTTGCACAGACTTTATTCATTCATGCCACATACCATGTTATGACCGAACACAATACGATGTGATGAAAGTGTTTTTCAACACAAAACGTTAATTTGTGGAAAAATGTTAGTATTTTTATTTGTTTAATTTTACTTATTTTCTTGCATGAATGATGATCAGCGTATTTGTTGCCCTCAAAGAATTAGTCAAAACATATCAAAGAAGATAAGTTTGACAACAAATTAATAACTACTATATTAAAAAATTTGCTTTAAAACTAAAATGTTGAGAACAAATTTTTAATTTAATGTACTTAAATTTTAAGCAACTTCATTAGTTGTTTAGACTATCTTACATCATTTGCTCTAATTCTATACACACATTACTCATGAAAATGTAAGTAAACTCACAATTATAAATTGGCCAAAACTTTACCTAGTACAAGCTGAAGGGATAACATAAATTAATGTGAACAACTAATGTTCCGTGACTCTATACCTACCTTTAACATAGATATTATCCTTCATATTTTCATATAAAAATTTGAAAAAACAAAATACCTTTTTATAATTTTAATATGTTTTGGTGTGGTTTTGAGTAAAAGAAATTATGTTTTCAATTCTTTAATTAATTTTCTATAAATGACAATAAAAAAACAATTCATCTTAATTGAAATAATTATATTTTTGACCTCTCACTAACATTAATCATTAAATTACTTTTATTCGTAAATAATTTAACAAGAACATGAATATTTAATATCCCTAAAAAGATTTCCTTGTGGTGTGAGAATTCAATCTTTCTACCTAAAAGACAGTATTTTTCAGACCAAATCTAACGTCAAGTGAGAAATGATATATATCAAAATTTTAAATAAAAACAAATTTTAATTTAACATCTATATTGAAATTTTAAAAATAAAAATACATATAATTTTTATTTATTTATCCTTCTCTTCCTATCGTATCATATAATCTATAAACTTGTATTTTTTGTTTTGGCTCTAAATATATATTTGAAGTTCCATTCCAGTGCACACTATAAGTACTATATGTGTTGTCATATGTTGATAACCTCTAGGAAAGGTATATTAACTACACTCTGTTGTCACCAACTACTAATATCAGCATAGGACCCCTTACATTTAATGTCCTAACTTCATTGTTTCTTCTATTTATAAGCTCCAAGCTTATCACTTTCTCTTCACTTTTCCTTTCCCTTTCTTCCTTATATTTTGTCACCTTCTTCTTCTTTCCATAATGGCCAGTCTTCAACTTATCAAAGTTCTTCTCCTTGTGTTTGTCATAGCTATAATTCAACCCTCAACATCCCAAACGCTACAGGGCAAAGTTTCCTGCGTTGACTGCACTCTTAACTATCACTTATCTGGTTTGACAACTTTTCTTCCATCATCTTGCTTTAGTTTAATCTAAACAAATCTTCATTATATCCATTGCTCTATTTCTTATCCAAATAGCACGTGTTTGTTTTTTTCATTTTCTTTTAATATGATAACCTTAAATCTCATGCATATTATCCACACTCTCTACTCTTAAGTATTAGATGATGATGTTTGTTTTTCCTGAATCATTTTTTAACTATATATTTCTTATCATATCATTGAGTGTGTGACTTGTTACTATTTTTTATATTTTGTTAACGAGAAAGTTGAAACTCATAATTTCTTTCATCAAATTAATCTAAAAACTCTCAAGTATTAGTACAAAAATTAAACTTACAATTTCTTTTACCCTTTCTTCCAATTTTATTTTTTTAAGTTACCTTATAAGTTTTTTTATATATTATCATTGTTGAAAGTCTTACCTTAATTATTAATATAAAGTCAGTTTACATTATATAAAATTAACCATAAATTTATTTTATAAAATTGAATTATATTTAAAATTTATTTAATCATTAAAAATAAAATATATAAAATTAACCATAAATTTATTTTATAAAATTGAATTATATTTAAAATTTATTTAATCATTACAAATAAAATATATAAAATTAACCATAAATTTATTTTATAAAATTGAATTATATTTAAAATTTATTTAATCATTACAAACAAAATATATATGAAGAGTATTAAAAGTCTCGATTAAAAATAAAATTAATTACAAACAAAATATATGTAAAAAGTATGAAAATTTTAAATTTTATTCTATAAACTGATTTTATCATGTTAAATTAGATTTAAGCCCAGGATTTCAATTATTTATTTATTTAGGATCTTGGTCCATGTAATGCAATTACATTAAAGTATTTATCACATACAAAGACAAAATTATACCCATTTGAGTTGTGTGTCTTAATATTCTATATACTTGTTTATTGTTTCAGATGTTAAGGTTTCAGTGAAGTGTGATGGTGTGAAAAAACTGGTTGTGGCTACTACAGAAAATGATGGCTCCTTCAAAGCTAACCTTCCTTCAGACAAAAGGAGTTGCTTTGCAAAAGTCCTTGGTGGACCAGTTCAGCTTTATGCCTCAGGGAAGGATCAGATATCCCAGATTATCAAGGGCAAAGAGTATAACAGCTACACCATCTCCACCCCTCTCAGTTTCAGAACATCATGTCCCCCAAGAACAAACTGCAAGAGTGGAAAACAGGTTGGTTCATCCAAAACTGTGGATCTTCCTCTTCCCCCAGAGTGGGGTTTGGCACCAAGTAGCTACTATGTTCCTTTCTTCCCTATCATTGGGATACCTTGATGATCATGTGTTGAAGAATTCAGGTGATTTAAAGTCACTTTATTGTAACATATGATTATAGATGTGATATCATATGTAGTGTGAAAGATATTATTGTGCCACAAATAGTTGTGGTATATATGCAGTGTATTATATAGTTTGTGAGGAAAGTTAATTTCCTGGTATGAAAGCTGATTAATACTGTATTTCTTTTGTCAACTTATGTTACCTTTTTATATATGTATTTTGCTAATCATAAAACTGTTTTTAGGTTTCTATTTTTCTCCTCTTCTCTTACACAGATGTATTTTAGTGTTTATAAATGTGTCAAACTGTAACATTATAGTTCTTTGTAATTTTTCTTCACTGCTATATATCTGTTTAGGAAAGTGCATGTTCTTGTCTAAATCTGTTGCTGTTAATACGAAATATCTAATGAAGTGATTATGATGATGAAACGAGTCACTGTTTTATCATCTTTTTCAAAAGAAAGTAAAATAGTGAAATGAAAATATGAATTTATGACCTGCATATTGTTTGGTTTCTGACACAGCCAGCAAGGCCAGACTGTAACATAAAAATGGAATTATGTGTGAGATCTGTAAATGGGACCACCAACAATAATTAAATTTTAAAATTACAAAGAAACTTTCAATAATAAAATATTATTACTTAAATAAATTTAGTTTGTACTGTCTTTAATAATAGTCTCATCTAATTTAGAAGGTATAAGACAGTTTAAATATTTTTATATGTTTTTTGAACTTAAAATTTAAATAATAACGTCCACAATAAAGTTGATAATCGTACATTTAGTACTTTAAACTTTTTACTAAATATGATTAAGCATTTTTCTTTGATTAAGCTGAACTATGTCACTCAATATTCTTTCAAACTTAAAATCAGAATAAATTTCATATTATATTATGTTTAAAATCTTAAAAAATTATATTTATTTATTTATTCAAATTATTAAACTTATTTATGTTAATCTAGTTTAAAATTTTACATTCACACTCTTACATTTTTTTAAACAATTTCCTCGGTCATTTTTCTCGCCATTAGAGTGCTTATTCATTAAAGTACATTTTGAATATGTTTTCTTAATTATTTTTCAATTCCAGATGCCGAATGTTTGACCTTCAGTTTATATTCATTATGAGGGTACCGTAGGTGCACATTGCATTTCCTGAATCCCGCTTTTATTAGAACGCATTAATTTGTCCAACTAAAATATAAATGATATTTTATGTAAAGTTTTGGATTGAAAACAAATATATGATTTAAAAGTAGGTCAAAATTTGAATATTGACAAAATTAATAATATTTTACTATTATAATACTGTAACTTAATATAAAGAGTTTTGTAAAATTCTTGAGAGAAGAAAAATTGAGTTTGTATGATATGCACCTTTTACATTTAATTTGAAAACTTTTGATTTTATTCGCAAAGTAATTTATTTAATAAATTGATTTATTTATAAGTAAGATAATTATTTAAACAAATATTTTTTATTTAACAAAATATAATATATAAAAATTAAAATTTGATAATTATTAACTTTATATTTTATATATTACATAGTAAATTTAAGAATTAAAAATATCACATTAATTCTTATCCATTCTACTTTTTTTAAGTTTCGATATTATTTTTTTCATCAACTTAAAATTTTTAAATTATCATATAATAAATTAATCTATGTTTAACATATGCGATATTTTATATACCACATAGTAAAGTCTATTTTCTCATCCATTACAAAATTTATCTGTATTCTCATCAGAGTCCAAATTCATTAAAAAATAATTGTTGGGTATACTTTGCTGTCACGTTTGCCTATTCTTTAGTGAGGAAAATTTGACTAAAGAAATATAGAAACTGTTTTGGTAGATTTTGAGAAGGATTATCATTATTGAATGTTTGGATGTTATGAAGTGTGAGTGTGAATAGATTATGAATGGAACGTATCTGACATGTGATCCTTACTCTCTATTTATAAGTTGTCTCATGGATGTTAAGCTGACATAAGTCCAATAAAATATTACCATAATAAAATATAAACAGATTTACCTAAAAATCTGGTTGGTTGTTTATAACATGCTTATCAATATCTTTAACTAGATATTCTTGATTATTTTATTATCTTAATGTTAACAGTTCGGTTTACACTAGCTACGAAAATAATGGTCAAATCTTTATCATTTGTTTATAAAAAACCACTTATTTGAAAGGTGTAAAAATTGTAAATTTCCGCATACTACGTACTTTAATCATTTTCAGACGTTACATCATTACTTAGTCATAGATACGTTACTACGTTATGTATTAGGCAAAGGGAAACGCGGAATCAAATAGTAGAAGCGATTGTGCGTGTTTTGTTCATACAGAAACACAACAAATTTTTTATTAATTACTACATTTTAGTTTGGTTAAGTTTGAAATAATCGGTTTTAAGTAATTGATTTGTGTCTGATTATAAAACGATTTATTAAAGGAATCACGTTACACTATAATCTACTTTTAAGGATTTTCGAAAGCTTTCCAAATATACTTTTAAACAAAGTTGCAATTCAGAAGTTATAACTAATATTGTTGAAGTGAAATGTGACTCATGAAAAAAAATATTTACATTAGAAAAAAAAAAATAATAATGTATTTTACATTTTATTATTATGTTAAAATATTGTGATGATTTGTTTGATTATAAGTTTTGTGTTGAATGACAAGGTTTTTGGTTTGAATCTTAGTTATGATGTTTTATTTTATTACCTAAGTAAGGTGGAAAATAACATGCTATAAAAATCTATAAAAATGGTAAATAAATCAAACATAAATAGGATAGCTCAGATAGTAATTGTATGGTTGAGTTGGTGAAGAAAGTAGTGAGAAAAGGTAAAGGGTTAACCCTTCTCTTTCTCTTTCTGAACATGTTGAAAAGTTCGGTATTGATGTTAGTAAGGAGAGCTAACTTAATTTTTTTTTTATTAAAAGTAGATTATTTTAAGAAAGTATAATAATATCATGTTTTAGTAAACTTGGTATGAGTGTCTCTTCTTGTCTGAGATGTTCTAGACCTTGACTTGTTCTCAAACATTAATCGAGTTATATCCTATCGGTCGACCTATTTTCAAACTTGGTCGAGTTGTATCTGACCTCGACCAACCTTATTAAGATCTTGGACGAATTGTTTTTCAAGCTTGATCGAGTTGTATCTTAACTCAGTCGACCTTATCAAGACACTAGTCAAAATATTTTTGGATCTGCCCGAGTCATACCTGACCTCGGCCGACCTATTTTCATACTCGACTAAGCTATATTGACCTTAGTCGACCTATTTTCAGACTTGGTCGACCTGTATCCAATCTCGATCGACCTAAATTCAAACTTGGTCGAGCTATACCCAACCTCAGTCAACCTATTTTCATACTTGACTAAGTTATATCCAACCTCGGCCAACCTTATTAAGATCCTAGACGAATTGTTTTTCAACCTTGATTGAGTTGTATCTTAACTCGGTCAACCTTATCAAGACACTAGTCAAAATGTTTTTGGACCTGGCCGAGTTATATGATAGTGGCATATTTTACTATGAATTCAGTATTGAATTAGAGAAAATATCAACTCTTTCTCATCCTTTTTTCCTTGTAAATCCTATTTTTCATTTAGTTTAAGAAGTGGTTTCATCTTAAGCTTTAATTAGATAAATTGATCATTAACCCCTTTATTTATACAAGTTAATTAGTTGGAAGAAGTCTCTGCATCAAATGAAGAGTGCTGGAACCAGAGAAAACAAGAAAACAGCAAAAGCAACAAAAATATGAAGAACCAGAATTTGGTAAAAGTTAGCTGGAGCGCCCTTTTTCCATGGGCGCTGGAGCTAGCCTGCACCAGGACTGGAGCTAGCTGGAGCGCCCCCTACAAAAGGGCGCTGAAGCGCCCTTTTTCCTATTTTCGCGCGCTGGAGCGCGGTCTCAAGCGCTCCTGCTGCTGATTTGGCAGATTGGGTTTATTTAACCCCAAATTAGAAGGGCTTTGACATCTTTGGCAACCCAGACACAGATTCTCTCAATTGGAGCGTCCAGAGGCGAGCTAGGAGCTGTGGGAACATCCCTTCTTCATCCTTGGGTCTTCCTCCTTCTTCCATTTCCACCATTGTTGTAAGCTCAAGCTCTCCATTCATGGAGAGCTAGTTTCATTCTTGTTGGGGTTTTTTTTTAACCACGAATCTCTTATGTAAATTACAGTTGTTTTGAATGATTATATGCCTCTTTGATTGATTGTTAGTGTTTAATTCCTTTGCTTAAAGCTTGTATGATTGATTCAACCATATCATGATTTTAGGGTTTGCTTGATATTGGGAAATATTGGGTGAATCTAGAACTGGATTAAACACCTAAAGGAAATTGTATCTAGGGATAGAACTAGGACCTTTGGTTGTCTTGAATCTCAATTCTTAAAGCGGATGAACTTGTTAAGTTTTCCAAGGGATTGGAGTTTAAGAAGTAAGTTTAGGCTCTCTCTACCAAGGGATTGGGTTTGAGTAAATTAGAAGATTGACATTGGCTAATTAATGAAGAGGAAATGATTTTCTATACATAAGAGTGAAGTAGGTGAAATCATCCCCCACCAATATCATTCCATATCATTTCTAATCTTTCCATTCCTAAGTGTTTGCGTTATCAAAGATCACTTTTACCATTTATGTTTTATCTTTACTTTAATCGCCTAAAACTCCAAAAATATGGAATCTTTCTTGAGTCTAAATTAGTTAGAGATTATACGATTGTCTAGGACACGAGTCTCTTGGGAAACGATACCCGGTCTTACTGGTTTTATTACTTGAACGATTCGTTATACTTGCCGAACCACCAACATTATACCTGACCTCGATTGACCTATTTTCACACTCGATTGAGCTATATGGACCTGAGTCGACCTATTTTTAAACTTGGTTGATCTTTATCCGATCTCGGTCGACCTGTTCTCAAACCTTGCCGATCCGATCTCGGTCGACCTGTTTTCAAACTTGGTCGAGCTATACCCAACCTCGGTCAACCTATTTTAATACTTGACTAAGTTATATCCAACCTCGGCCGACCTATTTTCAGACCTAGTCGAGTTGTATCTAACCTTGATCGACCTGTTTCTATATCTTAACCAAATTGTGTCCAACTTTGACCAAGTTGTGAATGACCTTAATTGAGTTGTTTTAAGATATTTACCGAGATGTGGTTTAACTGTGTATGATGCATTTCGTTGAGACCTATCTGTTTGATGAAA